GGGAAGATACCGGTTGATGTGGATGGCAGCAAAGTCAGCGCTATTTTGCTAATTGATGAAACACTGGATGCACCCACGCCATTCGAGGGTAGTCTTGAAGTCCGTCGACGTTTTCCACGCGCTATACTTCTTGCCGAGCCCAACGGAACCAGTCATGCTTCTAGTCTATCCGGTAACAACTGTGTTGACAACACGATTGCTCAATACTTGCTTTCGGGGACACTACCAGCACGGAAATCAGGTGATGGTCCTGATCTTGAATGTGCACCACTTCCTGAGCCAGTTCCATCAGGTGTCCATAAACCGACAAAGGCACAAATCCGCAATCTACTCCGAAAAGTAAAGCGATATTGAGAACTGTGTTACAGTGATATCACATGCAGACATATTCTCTATTTTTTAAGTTACCATTTAATTTTTAGTTATGCTCTACGTTTTACTTATTCTCTGTTCTTTCATCTTCCTTTTTGTCTTTAATTGGTTTATCTGTTTTTTCTCTTTCTTCATACATGTCTTATCTATATCATATACAAAGTTCAGTGTTTTTTCCTTACGTAATAAAGTTGTGCACATGCATCAAGGACATACGTATAATGATGTATATATATATATATATATATATGTATATATGGGCGCACTGAACCATAGGATGCCCCAATATGCTTTCTTTCAACTACCAGTAAAAAACCTAACTACTTAGAGCAGTCCAAAAGTAGTGTCGTCAAGGTCTTATTTCCTTATATTAGCAAAAAAAATTTTCTTTTTTTATGAATAGATTGAGCGTCTTTCACTCTATCTTTCTATGCTATTTAATCGATCTTCACTCAATATTAGAATAAAAAAACTTTGGTAAGAACTGTTTTTTGTTGGAAGCTAGCTGGTTGCATTACATTATATCATTATTCTTGCATGCTTTTTTTCGTTCTTTCCTTGTTTTTCTTTTATCTTTTTTCTTTTCTTCCTCGTCTTGCCATGTGATTAGTCGTCTATGCATACATATATGTTGACAGATACGTCGTGTCTTGTCTTCTTCGTGTATATGCATAGTTTGCTGCAATATTTTTCAAACAACCAAAAGAATTAAATTGGATTGAGCCTTAGCAGTATCTATTTGTTTCAGATGAGTACAGAAAACTTTCGTTTCTATATTAAAGTGCGTACCGAACTTAACATTCCACCAAGCGCTATTCATAATGAATTATCTTCTGTTTACGGTGATCAAGTTCCTTCTCTTAGGACAGTTCAAAGATCGTCTAAATCGTTTTGTGAAGGGCGAGAAGAAATTGAAGATGAAGTAAGACCTGGAAGGCCAATCACTGAAACTACAGCTAAAAATATAGGACAAGCTCGCCTTTTAATCGATCATGATCCTTACATTACAATTGAAAAAGTGCAGGAGCAAACTGATTTAAGTTATGGGACTGTCCAGCGAATCATCTCGGACCATCTCAAGCTGAGGAAACTTACCGCTCGTTATGTACTCAAGGACCTGAATGATTTTCAACGATCAGAGCAAATTCGAATATGCAAGAAAAATTTAGCAAATTTCCAAAAAGAAACATGGCGTTTATGTGATGTAGTAACTGGTGACGAGTCATGGTTTTATCATCAACAGATTGGTCGAAAGTCATCAAACGTTGCGTGGGTGGCAATAGGAGATCCTTTACCTATTGTGATTCAACGCAGTAAGTTTGCTTCAAAAACATTATTTTCCATTTTCTTTAAGTCAAATGGTCCTGTCCTTATTCATCATATGGGAAGGGGACAAACAATTGATCACCATTATTATATCAACAATTGTTTGCGACCTCTCGTCGATGAAATCAAATGTCAAAGACCGTCCTGTGGCATTCGTGGTATTATAATTCATCACGATAACGGAATGATCACATGTTCATAAAGATGTGACCAGTTATCTTGAATCGGAACCCATTACAATAATGCCACATCCACCTAATTCTCCAGATCTAGCACCATGTAACTTTTGTTTATTCGATTTAATCAAAGAAAATCTGACCGATCAAAACTATTCAAAATCATTGCGTAATGCTGTGACGGAGTTTATGTACTCTCTGAGCAAAAAAGAATATAAAAAAACCTTCGATAAATGGATTCAAAGAATGCAGTTGTGTGTGAATAATGAAAGCGATTATTTTGAACATTTGATGAAATAGACATTAGTTGAATTTCTTTCTGTTTTTTTTTTGTTTATTTTGCATCATTAACACATTTTGCACACTAAAATATCTGCATGGTTAATTACATGGCAAGATGAGGAAAAAAAGAAAAACAAGAAAAGAACGAAAAAAAACATGCAAGAATGATGATATAATGTAATGCAACCAGCCAGCTTCCAACAAAAAACAGTTCTTACCAAAGTTTTTTTATTCTTATATTGAGTGAAGATTGATCAAATAGCATAGAAAGATAGAGTGAAAGACGCTCAATCTATTCATAAAAAAAGAACATTTCTTTGCTTACTATAAGGAAATCAGACCTTGACGACACTACTTTTGGATTGCCCTAAGCATATTCAGGCCTAATTATTACCCTCATCGCTAAACTTCTATATTTAAAATATTAGTTGCTGATGAATGTCGTATATGAAGTTATTCAGTCCCTTAAAAACTATAGGAAACGATCTCAGAAACTGAATAACTCCATACAAAATAGCCATTAGCGGCTAATATTATAAATTCAGAAATTTAGCGACCACGAAGACAATTTGGTCTGAATATGGTTAGCTGTTCTCACGAGTAATAGAATAAACACAAATCTGGATATCCCATGACTCAGTAGGCCCATAGATACAAAGAAAACAGAAAAAAATTAAATTAACATTATCATAAGGCATAGGACAGTTCCCAGTTCTATGAACTGCATATTTTTCAAGAACTGGGTGAAGTGACTAGTTCCTTTTCGACAACTGGGCAAAAAGATTAGTTCTTCTTTGGAAACTATGTCTTGAAGCACTTCTATTTTTATAACTCACCCTAGCGACTAGTTCGTCTTTTGAGAATCGGATCTATCTATTCGAATATTACTTTTCCTTTAACTTCATTTCAACATATTAGCGCAACTGACAAGCATGGTTCAGAATGGATGAGTGTGTAGCATTCATTAGACACCCACACCCTCCATCTCCAACATTATTCACTGCTGAATCGATTGTGGACATTTTTTTCAGTACTCACATTATTCATTTCCCACTATTTCATCAATCTTGTACTGATAACTGGCTCTAATTCTCATTACGATATCAGTGAATATTTTCAAGTTAATTAAAAGATTACGACTGCTCATTAGTATGTATCCTGAAATCGTTTTTCAATCTTGCTTATTGAGAACAAAAAACATGAATATCATACTACTGTTAAAAATAAGTAACACTCATTGATAAACTCGAGAATGTTTTTATATTAGATCTATATTGCTCGACAAATAAAAATTCGTAGACATTTCATTCCAGCCTTTGATCATCGATGGTATGTTTTATATCAAAAATAGACATTCTTACGATACTTAAATGCATCAATTTACACGAGCTGCTAAATGAACGGATGAATGTACTTCATATTATGAGGTTCTTATGCTGACATGTGTTCAAACTGTACGTTTGGAGCTAAATCATGATAGAACTAAATGAAATATCAAAATTTTTCGTTATTGTTCACTAGAATAACTGATATAAATTTCAGTAACAAAGCATTGCGGCAGGATGATCAAGATCTTGCATTACATTTGATGTCATCTTATATTTGATCGAGAAAAAACTCGATCAGTTGGCTTTCTTGCGTCTTTTTACGGTATCTCTCACATTTCACTAGTTTCAATGACGATTTCATATTTTTTTTAACAAATACTCTGGACGCGGCATTAGGCATAAGTGGATGTGATAGTTACATGAGTAAAAAAATGAACTACATC